GTTTCAGGCCGATATTTTGAACAGTGCAAATCGGCCTGGCCGAAGCCTCGATCGGCCTGGACGATGCTTACAGAAAATCACCTGGAGCAAATCTGGGCAAATTCTGGAGCAAATTCTCAACTGATCGTCTCAAGACGATCCCAGATTGTCCTGGACGATCCTGGAGTAGATTTTGATATTACATTAGGTTAGTACACTTGGCTCACCAAAGAGGATTTGGAGAAACTAGTGCTAGACTTTGCAGATGGCTACTTGAACTATAACTCTTTAAAGAATAGCTTTTTAGGTTCCAAGAGAAATGATGTAGCACATAAAGGTGTTCCTATCACCAAATTATGGTCAAGAGCATATGAAGCTCAAGCCTTGAACATGCCATAATGATTTACATAATTTTCTGGTATTATTATTATTTTTTTTTTGTATTTTCATGTTTATGAATTTTATGCATGTAAAGACTTAGTACTATGTGGACTTTATGTGCCAAGTCACTATTTTATGTGTAAAATAGTTAAGAGATACTGATGCAAATGGGCTATCGCTACACTCCCTTGCAAATTGCTTAGCTATAAATTAATAACATTAGTGATCAAGGCCCAATCGAGCCTCATAATCACTAAAAGACAATGTTTTTAATATAATGAGATGATGATCTGATTTATTTTTCTATCTAGAACCCATCATAATAATTCTAGCAAAAATTTATCTAATTCTTGAGCAATCCTTCGGCAATAAAAGAACAATTAAAATTATTTAAGTATTAGTTATTCTTCAAAAATCAACTAAATAATTTTTGTATTCTTAGAATAAAGGAAAAATACTACCATTGGTTGAGCTTGAAAATATAAATGCACCAGGCAGAGATGGCAAGTAACGTCATGGTGGGAGACAGGCCGCTTTCCGCATCTTGCAACCCAAACAAGCAAACGAACAAGCTTCTTCTCCAACCGCTCCTACCCCGCATCTTGTAAACGTGGATACATCATCTACCGTCTTTCTGTCCAAACAACTAGGAATTGAACGGCCTATGATTTCCCGTATGAAACTTCTTATGCGCGCCGTCACTACCTTAGCATTCAACAGCAACGTTAGAACAAACTGAGCACCACCGACAATAGCAAATCCTCTATCTACCTTAAAATACGAAAGATCAAATAAAACGATTATAATCGTTCAAAGCTCTAATCGACACTTTAGCTATGCGATGAGACGTGTTTAATGGCACAACGCTGTTTTATAGCGAGCAGCAAATCATATCATCGCTCACCTTCTTTTTCCCCGACCTGGAAGGCTGTAACGCTCTATTTCACTCCACCCACTATCTCTCTCCTCTCCAACACAAATCGTCGTCGGTATTGGATTCAATGTCGAAGGGAATGTTCTCTCGACCGGCAGGGAATTTGGCGGCGATGGCAGCTATACTAGTTTTGGCTGTGCTTCTAATGGCGGCCGCTGGGGTGGAGGCGAAGTCGAAGCTGAAGACATGCAGTAAGGGGTGGGAGTGTACGGACTCGATATACTGCTGTAACGAGACAATCTCCGACTTCTTCCAGGTTTACCAATTTGAAAATCTCTTCTCCAAGCGCAATTCTCCTGTAGCGCACGCCGTCGGATTCTGGGATTACCACTCCTTCATCACTGCCTCGACCGCTTACCAGCCCCTCGGCTTCGGCACCACCGGAGGGAAGAAGATGGGGATGAAAGAGGTGTCGGCATTCCTTGGCCACGTCGGCAGCAAGACTTCCTGTAAGATCGATTCTCAACACTTCTTCTTGTTTTGTTACGGTTATATGGGTTTTTGCTATGATTTTGACTGATTTGGTTGCGGATTAGTGTCTAGAATGGGAAATAGACTTCTGGCGCAGAAAAAAGGGTGTGATTTGTTGATGGTAAATCGGTGGTTACAGAAATGAGTTAATCAAGATCTTGAACATGGAAACGGGAAATGAACTAATCTAGATCTTGAACATAGAAACAGCATTGAAAGTTAGTGGGCTTGCATTAGGAGAATATTGTTCAGAACTCTTATAAGATTATGAATGAGATGATGCTATGTTTAAGGGAGAGATTAACTTATGATGGATCTTGTTGCGTCCTGGAGTATTCACAATGGTAGATAAATTTATAGTTTAATGTCTTAGCGTTGTACGAAGATCTAACACTGACATAAGTAAGAGAGAGGGTGTGACGTTCATAAGTGACATCAGAGTTCTTACGTAGAAACTCCTGAAAAGGGGGAAAAATCATGGGGCATGGCCCAATTTAAATGAATCCATTAGTATTTACAGTCAATTACAAATGAGGCCCTTCCTTAGGAGAAGGCCTTGACTTGATGTCACAAATGTGCATCATATAGAGCGCATTACATTGTGGGAGTTACAATAATTAATATAGATATATTTGTTTGGTCGGCAGGACCATAGTCGATAGGATAGATGTTGAAAAGATCGAAGTAGGCTGGAGATCGAGGTAAGAAAAACTATTGTTTAGCGATGGAGGTCATAAGGATCGTAGTAAGCAAAGAGATCGAAAGGACCATAGTCGATAAGAGACAGGGCTCCGAAAGATCGCAGTTGACAGTAGACCTCGGTCAGAAAGACCATTGTTTGGTGTTGGAGGTCGGAAGGACCGTAGTAGGCGACGGAGGTCGGAAGGACCGTAGTTGGCAGGAGACCGGGATCAGAAAGATCGTTGTTTGGTGATGGAGGTCAGAAAGACCGTAGTAGACTATTGAGGTCAGAAGGATCGTAGCAGATAGGAGATCAGGTTCAGAAAGGCTGTAGTTGGTAGAAGACTGGGGTTAGAAAGATCATAGTAGTAAGACAATACTCCGATAGAACTCTGGGCATCAGGTGGTGGTCCGGTAGAACTCCGAGTGCCAGGTGGTGATCTGACAGAACTCCAGGTCTCAGGCGGTGGTTCGACAAAGTATGGGCCTCAAGCGGTGGTACAACAAAAGTTTGGGCCTTAAGTGGTGGTTCGACAGAAGTTCGAGCCTTAGATCGTGGTCCGACAGAACTCCAAGCGTCAGATGGTGGTTTTGCAGAAGTCTGGGCCTCAGGTGGTGATCCGACAGAAGTCCGACCTTAGATGGTGGTCCGGCAGAACTCCGGGAGTCAGGTGGTGGTCCGGTAGAAGTTCGGGTCTTAGGTGGTGGTTCAGCAGAATTCCAGGCATCAGGTGGTGGTTTGATAGAAGTTCGGGCTTTAGGTGGTGGTCCGACAGAACTCCGAGCATCATGGGGTGGTCCGACATAAGTCATGGCCTCAGATGGTGGTTCGACAGAAGTTCGGGCGTTAGGTGGTGGTTCGACAGAAATACGGGCTTCAGGTGGTGATCCGGCAGAAGCTCAGGCCTCAGATGGTGGTACGGCAGAAGTTCGGGACTTAAGTGGTGGTTCGATAGAAGTCCGGGCCTTAGGTGGTGGTCTGGCAGAAGTCTGAGCCTTAGGTGGTGGTCCGACAGAACTCCGGGCGTTAGGTGGTGGTCTGGCAGAAGTCCGGAACTCAGGTGGTGATCAGGTAGAAGTTCGGGCCTCAGCTGATGGTTCGGCAGAAGTCTGGGCAGTGGTGGAGGAGGAGCGAGGAGGCAAGAGCGATCTCTGATTTCTCTCTTGGTCTCTTGCTTGGATCCCGCTTTAAAGAGGCAGGAGGGGGTTTATTTATAGATTTCTTAGAGTGACATGGCTTGTAAATAGGTGGGAGATCAAGGGCATATGGGGAGTGGCTTGGATGGACCGCCGATATTGAATCCCTTGATCATGAACTGTTTGATGGAAATTTTAATGTCTTAATGATGTTAGAATTCTACAATCTTGTGCTCGTTGGAGTTGTCTCATCGAGCCGCTTGATTTGACTATAAGCACGTTATTTTTGGAAACTGTTTGGTAAACCAAATTGTGGTTCGATCCCTCCAATAGCGCTTCGAACCCTTGATTTGGATCCATTTGTGCTAGGATTGAGTCAAATTTGGTGTCATTGGGTTCGTATTTCTGAGACTTTCAATTTGAGTATAAGTTTGTTGAAATCGGAGTTCGGATGGTCCCAATTTTAATTTTGGAAGTTTCCAACTTGATTTTGCATCGAGATTCGTGCTTGGTCAAGATAATTTTTTGAAGATGTATCAGATCTGATAATTCATTCTTCCCTAGAAATGCCCATGTCTGATATCTTTGGGCTGCTTACTCTAAGCGGCTATTTGACAACGAGGTTTATGTAGGATTTATCATTTAGCATAAATCCTGCCAAACGAGATATAAGAATCCCGTAAATTTCACGGTGAGATAAATCTGCCATTACCCCAGTTTTGGCGTAAATCTTGAATTTACTAAATCCTGGGTTTTGGCAGATTAAGGAGACTTGAACGAAGAAGTGAGCGGAAGAGGATAAAATAGCGAAATCTCAACCTGACTTCTTATAGGAGCAATGTCGTTGAAGTGCGCCGAGAAGCTTCTATCAACTCTTTTTAAAATTGTACTTCCTCTGAAGCACGCGAAGCCAAAGCAATGATCCTAATGGAATGAAAGGTCGTTGGAGGAGGCGAAGAATGCGACTCGTTCAAAACTCTTTCTCATGCGAAGCAGATGAAGTCAAACAACAAAAGAACCCGCGAAATTGGCGAAGTCAAAATAGCAAGAAAGAAGCACATAATAGGAAATATAAATAACATTTAATTATAACAAAATATATTTAATAATTAATAGTATAATTAGTATTAATAACTCATTAAAATAAAATTTTAATTGTTATGTCTTGGAATATTCATGGCAATAGAGAAATATAAAGTTTAACGTCTTAGCTTTGTACGAAGATCTAGCACACAATCAGAAGAAAGAAAGGGGTGTAATATTCATAAGAGACCAAAATTTTTGCATGGAAATCCCGAGAAATGGGGAAAACCATGGGACCTAGCTTAGTTTGAATGTATCCACTAGTGTTTGCAATCGATTATAAATGCGGCCTTTCCATGGGCAAAAGGCATTGGCTTGATGTAACAAATATACATCATATAGAGTGCATTACATGGTGGGAATTGGAAGAAGCGGTGTTGACATTTTCATTTGGTCAGCAGGACCATAGTCGGCAAGCGATGTAAGTTGAAAGGATCATAGTCGGGCGATGGTGGTCGGAATGACTGTAATTGGGCGATGGAGGTCGGAAAGACTGTAGTTGAGCGACGGTTGCTGGAAGGACCGTAGTTGGTAGGCGATGGAGGTCGAACAGATCATAGTTGGGTAACGATGGTCGGAAGGACTGTAGTTTGCGGGTCACGACGGTCAAAAAGGCTATAGTCGGTGGGCGATGGAGGTCAGAAAGACCGTAGTTGAGCGACGGTGGTCAGAAGGACCATAGATAACGGGCGATGGAGGTCATAAAGACCATAATTTGGTGACGGTTGTCGGAAAGACAGAGTTGGCAGACAATGGAGGTCGAAAAGATCGTAGTCGGGTGACGGTGATCGGAAGGATCCTAGTCGGATGACAGTGGTCGGAAGGATTATAATTCGGAGGTCAGAAAGACTGTAGTTGGGTGACAGTGGGCCATAGTTGGCGGACGACGGAGGTCAGAAAGTTTGCCATCCAATGATGGTGGTTCGAAGGACCGTAGTTAGTGGGCGATAGAGGTCAAAAAGATCGTAGTTGGACGATGGTGGTCGGAAGGACCGTAGTTGGTGGGCGATGGACGTAAAAAGACCATAGTCAAGTGACAGTGGTCAGAAGGATCGTAGTCGACGAGCAACGGGGGTCGGAAAGACCGTTTTTTGGATAGATCGTAGACGAACGACAGTGGTCGGAAGGACCATAGTTGGCGGACGATGGAGGTCGTAAAGGTCGTAGTCGGGCGGTGGTGGTTGGAAGGACCGTAGTCGAATAATGATGGTGGGAAGGATCATAGTCGGCGGGTCAAGGAAGTTGGAAAGATTGTAGTCGGGTGACGATAGTCGGACAGAAACGAAAGGCCGTAATAGGGCGACGGTGGTCGGAAAGATCATATTTTAGAGATGACTATTAGAAAGAACTTTTTTAGAGCAACGTAGGTCAGGGAGACCATTGTAGGGTGACAGTTGTCGGAAGGATCGTAGTCTGGTGACGGTGGTCGGAAAGATCGTAATTGGCGATAATGGATTGGAAGGACTGTAGTCGGATGATGGCAGTCGGAAGGATCATAATCGGCAAGCGATGGAGGTCAGAAAGACTGTAGTTGGTGATAGTGGTCAGAAGGACCGTAGTCGGCAGGCGACGGAGGACAGAAAGACTGTAGTCGGTGATGGTGGTTGAATGTACTATAGTTGGGGGGCAGTTGTTGATAGGATCGTAGTCGTCATGTGGCAGATGTTGGAAAAATTATAGTCAGACGACGGTAGTCGGAAAGATGGTAGTTGGAAAGACCGTAGTCAGGCGACGGAGGTCAGAAAGATTGTAGTCGGGTGATGGTGATTGGAACAACCATATTTTGGAGACGACGATTAGAGACCATACTAGACGGGCAACGAAGGTCGGGGAGACCATAGTCGGGTGATCGTGGTCGGAAGGACCATAGTCGGGCGATGGTGGTCGGGGAGACCGTAGTGGAGTGACGATGATCAAAAAGACCATAGTCGGGCGACGATAGTTGGAAGGACCATAGTCGGGGGGTGTCGGAGGTCGGAAAGACCGTAGATTGGTGACGGTCGATAGCCGGGAGAAAATCTAACGACAAGTGGTGGCCTGGCGTAAGTTCGGCAACAATTGGTGACAAGACGAAAGT